AAAAAACTCTATCACCACCACTTGAAGAAGTGGTCACACTCACCACCTCATAAAATCTTGAAGTGAGAACAAAGCGAAAACAACAACCCTGACAAAGAACAATTGAGTGATTTGCAGTAATCTCCGTCAAATATGATATAGTACCAAATTTAGAGAGCATGAGCAATGTTAAAGAGCATGTTTTGAGAGAAGAATTTAATTGAGAACATAGCTCAAAAGAGGTGATTGGGAACTTCAAATTGAGCATGATTTAGAATTAGAAGAAATCACTACAAGAGGCTTCTTATTCAAAATGCCCAAGTGGATTTATTCACTAACACAAAAGAAAAATGGAAAGAAGAGACAGGGGTAGTGGTGAGGAGGGCTAGTGACACTCCTCCTCTATGGAGTTTTTCTTCTCACAAAGAGAGAGAGAGCGGCTAGAGTTTTTGAACTTTACGTGCTTTGTGTGTCTTTCATTATTAATCTTGAGGTTTTCTAATTTAGCGTTTAATAACAACACTACGCATGATTTCAATTTTTATGAATGATAAATAGTAAACTAAAATAAGAGCCATGTGGATTCTTTTCTCCTTTTTCTCTTCTCTTTTATCCTTGAAGAAACCAACATTTGATTACACCTTCGATCTAAGGGGCCTAGACCCCATTAACAGAGCGTACTTATTATTTTAATCTTAAATACCATGTTTACTTATCAGAATCAGAAATAGATATTAAAATTATTCTAATTTCCTTTTATCACTAGGTTTCCAATTCAATTAATGAATTCCCATTCCCAGTAAGTATAGATATATATACACACGTCGGTCTCAAAAAGTGATATATATACGTTGGTCTTCAGGGTAAAAGATACTTTGCGAAATCCTTTGACTAAGTGGGCCTGAAACTTGACGAAAGCCAATTGAGATAACGCAGGGGCAGTCATCGGCCCATTCCCAAGCCTCTTCGTCGTTCGTTTGTATCCCAAAATTCGCTGCCTAGGGTTTGTTTAACCGTTCAGTCCTTCAACTTTCACCAGCCACCTACAGCTGTGCGCTATTTATGCAGGCGTCTCAGAATCTGGAAATACAGAATCAAAGCTCAAACATGGAGGCCGAGACTGCAACAGAAGAAGGCTTGTCACTGATAAAGCAACTCGCGTCATGCAACAAGAGCGGCCGAGACAGAGCACTCAGGGTCCTCCTCAAGACATGGCTGCCAACCCAACTCAATCTCCATGATGACCACATGAAGAAGCTCTGGAAAGGCCTCTTCTACTGCGTATGGCACGCAGACAAGGTCCCGGTTCAGACCCAGCTCATCGATCGACTTTCCTCTTTGGTCCTCAGCCTCCATCTCCCTCTTTCCATCCATTACTTCTCGGCCTTTTTGCTCACTATGCGCCGCGAGTGGTCCGGCATCGATGCCTTGAGGTTAGACAAGTTCTACCTTTTGATTCGCAGATTTATGGCTAGTTTCTTTGCTTTGATGAGAAATAATTTGTGGGATTTGGAGCTTGTGAAACGTTTGATGGGTGTGTTGGAAGAGGTGACTTTTTTCGCTGACGATAAGTTTCTAGGTAATGGTGTTAATTACCACATTGCCTCGGTTTTTCTTGAAGAGCTTAGGCCGTATCTTCCGCTTAAGGCTGAAGTTCTTGAGGTTGTTTTAGTGAGTTTTATTCGTGTTTCGGCTAAAGTTCCTGATAAAGTCCTGTTGGGGAAGATTAGGAGTAATACGTTTGATGCTTTGCTGGGGGCGGGGAAGAGGCTATTGGAGGTTAAGAAATTGGGGGAGGATGTGGGTTCGGGTGATGAAGTTATGGTCTTTGGGTCAATTGCGTTGACGATGGGGTTTTCAAGCAAGTTTTATGAGTTGGGCTCTTCACCTGAGTGCTGTCAGGGGAATAGGAAGGTGTTATTTGGCTTGCACGAGGAGTTTCTTAAGTTGGAAAAAGAGTTGGAATCTTCTGGGATTGAGATTTCTATTCCTGATGTTGTTTACAATGATGATGAGGTAGTGCCGACTTTGGTTCCTCTTGCAGGTGAGGAGATGGAAGTTGGAAACTCAGAAGCTGGTGAGGTTGTCATGGTCAATGGCTCTGCTGGAAAGCTTTTGAAGAAGTGTAAGAATCGTGAAAAGGACACTGGTGCTGCTGATACAAAGGCAGAGAAGAAAAAGAAGAAGAAAAAGAAGAATAAGAAGGAGAATGAGATTTTGGATTCTGACTCTGAAAAGAGCTCTACAGATAGGGAGAATGAGAACGTAGTTGCAAATGGTGAGAGTTCAGATAATCAACAGGCTACTGATGAAAATGCTGTTAAACTTGATGATAATGTGATATCAAACCTCCAGATGCAGTTTGAGAAGATTGCTGCTGAAGCAGGCTTGGATGGTGATGTTCCAAGTGCCTGTGATTTGCCTACAGCTTCAGATAAGGGCCCTGTCTCTAAGAAGAGAAAGAGAGTGAAGAAAGCTGTTGAAGAAGATGTTGAGGGTGGCACCAATGCAAAGAGTGGGGAGAAGAGTGCAAAGAAGGTAAAATTTTCCATGAAAAGTAATTTGGTGTGGAAGCCCCAAAGCCCTTTACCTCCGCAAGATTTAAGAGTGCCTCCTTCTGCTACGCCTAGAGGAAGTGCACTTAAGAAAGGAGTACCTCCAGGTCCCATTAGGGAAATGCCTCTCCCTACTAAAAAGGTGAAAATGGTAAGAGTTGTTACTGCCAAGAAGGCACGGAAGGCTATCAAACGCATAAAGAAGCTAAAATCTCGCCCTACTTAGAAGAGATCAATTTTGTATTATCATTTTTTAGCTGAAAAAATTTGTTCTGTGTTTGTTTTTCATGCACAACTTTAATGATTGCCCCATTTGTGCTTTTTCTCGTCTCCTAAGTTTTATTGGGTTTATTTATAAAGTTAATTCTGACATTGATATTGGTTTATTCTTCAAATTGAATGAAATGATGCATTGGCATATTCCTTTGTTTGATACTTACTATGTTACTAACTTTCTCAAGAACACACTGCCCCCTGATGTTCTAGTCTACTAATCATCTGTGGATGTTTTACTCTTCAAATGACTATGATATTTATCTCTGTTGTTATTTGATTTTAGTTGCCTCCCTTTTTTCTGTGGTAGATTTATATTAGGTAGATGAAAAGACAAAGACCTCCTTGTTTATTTGCTGCATTTTTAATTTTACTAATTTTTCAGTTCTTATGTTAGAGGTGATAGACTTAAAGGGACATGTAGCATATTAGTGTCATGAACTACGTTGCCGTACATGTAGATTGTGGTCGAAGATATTCCTCTTGAAGTAACTTTTCCTTTGTGTTTTCCAGTTCAAGAGGAGTGAAATAAGAGTGACATGTATCTGTTTCAACATTGTGAGGAATAAATATTGAACTCTTTTCCTTTTCACCATGCTGATAGATCTATGGTCTATCAAACTGCATATATTTGTGCTTGGTTTTTAGCTACCAGCCTGATTAAACAAATCTTCAAAACAGCTAAATCTACACACTTATGTGCATCCAGTCTGAGTGTTGAGGGTCCATGCTTTTATACTATATATTTTTTCTGGTCACCCTGCATCTATTACAGGGGGCCATGTGTTCTGGTGAATTAGGATGATTAGACGGGATAAGGTTAGGAATCTTTACAAATCACTTCTCCTTTATTACTGATAAGGTATATTGAAATTTGAATCACAGAAATCTATTCCTGTGTACTTCTTGCTGAAAGTAGATCTTTGGAAATATATGACTTGCACTTGAGAGAGATTCTAATGTTTCTGATTTTTCACTTAGGGGAAGATAACAAAATTGATTCCAGTTGTAGCAAAATAGTATTGCTTTTATCATGCTTCTAGGGAAATGCCTTTTTCCTACAGTGTTTGCAGCATATTTTCACTCGCTTTTGGAGAAACTCCTTGACAACATGTGCACACAATTTTCAGCTCGTCTTGATCATGTTCCTCTCAGAAATACATGTACAAAAAATGGTCTTGTCAAAAATGTCTTTGTGGGTTGCTAAGCGTCTCTGCAAATTTTTGGTTTCACAAAAGGACGTATATAGGATTTGTGTCATTATACTTATGAAGGCCAAAGCTGAAAGCACCGCTTGCCTGCATTATGTTTGAATACTGACAATATTTTTTATGTATGAGGACTAATATGATCCAACTCTATGGTCGGTCTTATTTTTTTGGTACTTTGAGTGGGTTTGGAACATGAATGCTTGGTATCAGTGTCCCAGTTGTTTCAGTCCTTTTGAATGTTGAGAGGGCTTGTAAAATGTGGATACTAGGAAGAAGAAATTTTAACATCACAGAAATTTGATGTGATGACTGATAGGTAAAACAGGTGTTGCATGTCAAGAAGACTAATCAGGATTCTATTAGCCTAACTGCATATTTCTTGGGTCCCTGTATTTCAATGTGTAGGATTTACTGTTCTCTTCTGTACCAATTGTCTTGTAATATTCAATGCTTCAAATTGTGGTGTTATGATTCAAGTATTTTGTGTCTTGTATGTGTTTTCAATTTATATGGTTCTAGAGCTCAATTACTTAGCGTTGTGTGTCGGGCCAATGTTTGTGTTCGTCATGGCAGCATAACTCATATTCGTCACATGCATAAGCCATGCAACATGTAGGCATGTACTGGCTATTTGCTTGGGGAAATTGGTAATCACCAAATAATCATAATAGGATTGGCAAATATGTGGGTGTTAGTTTGTTGATTAGGATTTGATTTGGTTTTGTTCTTCTCAGTAGGATATTGTTATGATGTTGCTATTTGGTGCTAGCAGAGTTTTTAGAATAATATTGTGAGCTGTCTTTCATCCTCCAAATTTGGTGATAAATGTCTACCAACTTAGGTTACCAATTCACAGAGCTCAAATAGTTATTAGGTAGGGCTTCTTTTTCCTGTCACCTTGTTTTGTCTAGCTCCTCTTTTGCTATTATTGTTTAAGCTCGTACTTTGAGAATGCAATTTGCAAATGGACAACACACTGTAGTAGCCAACTAGCCTAACTCACATATGTTATGTTACCGAAATCTTGTAATCTATTTATTGGTCGTGTCACGATGTTAAAATTGCTGCAAACAAATAAAACTTAAAATACAAATAGCATCCCTAGTCGTTTTATGTGGAGAGGAGGAAATCAATGAAGTGATCATGCCAATGAGCACTCAGCTGGAAACCCTTGTGGGAAGCGCTTGGTATCTCTGCAATAGTTGTAAATCATGTAGTTCTTCTGAACCCATTTGATTCTTTCTTGGCCAGTTGCATCCAGTGACTGACTCAACCAGCTGGAGGAGCTTGAGGAACTGGAAGAAGAACAATGGGAAGAGCCTGAAGACCAAGTGCAAGCTTGGGCGTTGAAGTTTCTGTATGAGGCTGTAAATGGGGCTTTGCTCCAATCTGCCTTCACAAGCCCTCCACGTGTGGCCCAATCATCTGCATTCCACAGGCTTGAGTATATTGACATGGCTTGGTTCTTTGGGAAAGGAATTCCCTTCGATTCTAAGTTCTTGAACTGTCTAATGGGTGTCCCATCCACAGAGAATCTAATTAATCAAGAAGAACAAAGCATAGAAGTTTATTAGGATACATACAAACAAATATTTGAGTAATTCTAAATGGGCTAATGGCAGACTACAAATGGACCGTAAATATTCATACAAAAACTCAACATGATCAGAGGTTCATATTTACTATCAAAATAATCATCTTATGTTTTGAAGAGAATATTTCCTATGTTATATGTACCATATTCACTAACTATATCACCAATTACATGTCTCGCAAAGATGAAATTCATTTACTAACTACATAACTGAATCTCATCGAGATATTTTTTTAGTGAGACATGTTATCAGTAAATATGATACAAATAGTTTTATCAAGTCAAAATGGGAGAGAGAGAGCTTAGTTTAATTACATGATGCTTTGAGGGTTCCACAAGATGGAGTAGGTGTGGAAGTCTTTGGTGGGATCAAACCAAAGATAGAATTGTTGCTCCCTATTACCCTTCCCTTGTGTGAAAACATTTGTGTGTAGAATATAAGGATCTCCGCTTAGGTTGCCTAGAAACTCAAAATCTATCTCGTCATGAGTAGAACCCAACGAGGACAGCTGCAAAATTCACACATATAAAAAACATTAGACATGCATGATATGGATATGATGTATTACGTATATAAAACTTAGAAATAAGAAAGCAGCTAAATTATACATGATGAAAATTATACATGATGAAGTACTCACATAGTAAGCCGTAACAGTACCAGCAGAGTTACCAGGCACAAGCTTGATCTGCATATCAATTTTCCCAAACAAGTACTGATTCTTGGACCGGAAACCCGACCCCGAAGTCTTGTCCAGGGACAGCGTAAGAAGCTGCCCGTTGTCGAGTATTTGCGCTCGACCGTCACCCCATGTTAAGTCAAAATCTTGGTTGAGGTTACCAGCCGAAGCCACAACCAAAATGTTGAACAAAGTTTGCAGAAGTACTAGAACCAAGAATATCTTAGTCATGGTTTGGTTGATCGAATTGAGGAAATGGGAAGGCAAGAGAGAGAGAGAGAGAGAGAGAGAGAGAGAGAGAGGGAAGGAGAGATAGAGAGAGGTGTTTGATGAAATGCATGGGAATGGAGAAGGGTATATATAGTGGTTTTATGGGTGTGGGAGAGTATGGGAGAATTAGTGGGGCTAGGCTAGGCTAGTAGGCAATGATCAATCAGTTGTGGTGGTGGTGGTGGTGTTGAAGTGGTTGGGAAATATGCATGCGTTTGCTTAAGAGATTTGGGTTGACTTGGCTTGGGTTTATATGAGAGTGGGGACCAAAGACAGCTAATAAAGATGATGTTCATTTCTCCAAGCTTAAGTTTTTTTTTTCTATCCTTTTTTTGGGTTGCTCTCCAGTCCAATTGCATTGCCTTGGGAAGTTGGGAATCAAAATCTTTTTCTACGCGGTTGTGAGGTATTAGAAGGTAAAGCGAAAGGCAGAGAGAGAGGGTTCAAATCCCATGTACATGATATCACAGCTGTCCAAATGCTTGTTGGTTTGCTATTAATTGGGTTCTAAAACTCTTAAATATCATTTGTGTGTTCCCCAAACCAGAAAACAATGTTAAGCTCGGTTTCCTCTTGACTTCAACTTAAATTAATTGGTAGTAGAAAAGTAAAAGATTTCACACTTGAGAGCAATTTGTTCACCACAAGCATTACTATTCTTCTCAAAGCGTGTCATTTGTTATATGTATTAACTGCGATTGACCTTTTGTGACCAATTATTGTCTAGAGTCAAAAGAAATAGGGCAACGTTATTAGTTTGTCATCTTGACTAACATAAAATTTAACGTGCAGAATGACAAACTAAGAGTGTGAATAACAATCGATGAGAAAAATTATACAGTGTTCAACTTCAAACCAAAATACATGCTAGCTGAGGACAAATATTATGAAATTTGTAGTTATTTACGCTATGTTGATTTCAACATAGAAAAATGACTCGTGATCAAGGATGATGAGCACAATTATTGTCAATTGTTATTCTTTCACATAAACTATACCTTTTGTCTATTCATCTTAAAATTCTTTTCAATTAATTGAGGTATTGAAGATGATAATAAGGGTCAAATTTTAAAAATGAAGCATTAGTCAGTACTAGAAGCTTTGGTAAGAGGGACAATTAATATCTTCAATTATTGTCGGCGGGCTTTTATCTATCGTATGTGGGAAGTCTAAAGTTCTAAAACATGACGCACCGTAATTTGTATTGTATATGGCTCTCAACCTCAGCCTCAGCCTCAGCCTCAGCCAGCCAACCAAGGGAGAGAAGGTAGGTTGGTAGTGTCAATGTCAATTTCGCCAAACCAGAGTCTTGGGATTGTCATCAGTCAAATGTTGCTTTCATGCAAAGCTGTTGCCTGCTTATGGGCAATGGACATATAAAAGATTACAAATATATTATTTAATTTTGTCATAGGATTGAAAAAAAACAGTACTATACTTTATAATAAGATAAAGCGATGACGTTTGTACTTGCATGCATGTATCTAGGGCAGGCCCTGTGCTTCTGAACGTTTGAGCTTAGTTTTCAAGGAGATCAAAACTTTTGGTTTTTGGGTAACGCTTTTGGTTGTTTTCAATTTCAAACAATTTTGGTGTATTTCATTATCTTTTAGTGTCGTTTTTGTTACTACTGTGTATATATATATATATATATGTGTATACAATTCTTCTTGGATAAGATGTTTGTTCTTTTAATTAAAGAACGGACTATTGATACAGTATTAATAAAGTTTTGATATCATTATCGATAACATGTCAATAACAAAACACACCGACAGAATTGATAGAAAAATCCGACAACTTTTTTACATACATATAAATATAGATATTATTATTGAATGGTGCTTTCTATGTTATGTTATCTTGCACATTTACATATTTGTTACTGAGGGGCAGTAACAATAGCCATCCAATCAGAAAAATGCTTGGATTATTGCCTAGTCATCCTACTTACCCGTAAATCACAGTTTGATATATATGCTAAACATTTCTTCATGTCTTTGATGAGTCATTTCTGTATAGATGTTAAATTATGATTTGCGAAAAAGGACAAATCACTCATCCATGAAAATGATCAATGGTCGATCCAACAAGTTGGAAAAACTGAACCTGAACAACTATTTTGCTATTGTGTCCCCCTTTTTGGCCTCCACTTTGTCCACAATTATTGCTTGAATGACCTTCCTAATAATAAGAACAGTAAAAGGATAGAAGTGGCGCATAATCTAATGACCACATCCAAAGCCATCGTGCATTTGCCATCCCCACTTTGTTGCTTCTTCGAAATTAAGGTTGTGTGGTTATATGATTCGTAGTTCATCTTTATCTCCAGCTAGCTAATGATTAGTTCAAAACGATAAGAATGGAGCCAATAATATAATAAAACTTTGAATAGACATGATTAAGAACCAATTATCCTACTCTTAACAAATTTTAAATGACTGGAAAGTAGATGAAATACTGAGGTTAATCCATATCTTAATCGGCCGACACAAACATGGGTCCTCGTCAAATGTTGCTTTCTTGCCCATTCCAGCAGAGTGGTTACGGGTTGCTAAATTCATAAATAGCTGTCCTGCTCTTTCAACAATCCATTTGGGAACAAATGATTGAATTGAATTCCACTACCAAACAAACAAGTTCATTGAACTGTAATCAGTTCACAGATTTTTCAATGATTCATTCAAACTGTGTCAATTCACTACCCAATAGGTAGACTTGTTTATAATCGTAAAACGTACTGCAATCAGGCTTTCACTAGTTTCAAACATCCATCCCTACGGTGGATGTGAGAGGGGAAACTAACTCTAATTACAGATATGAATTATTAAAAACTACCTACTGATGCTGTCTGGAAGTGAAGGTAAACGGTTTCCAATACATTTCAAATAAACGATAAATCTTTTTTTTTTTTTTCTCTAATTATTTTTGAAACAGATGCAGCATTCTCCAGCTAAACAAATCCTTTACTCTAAAGCAATCCCTGAAACCCTGCATTCTTGTTCGTGAAGCAAGCTTCAATTTTGACCTCTAAAAAGACAAAGCAAGCTTGAAGGGTGACTTCAGTGGCTCCAAAGTACTGATTTTTCAAGCACCTTCACATATAATTTACTATATTATAATTACAGTTTCACCTTGCTTTCTTTTTGTTTTTGGGGTGGGGGGTGGGGTTAAAATACGAGGGTCAAGAATCCCAAAAAAACCTATATTAATCATCCATACAAATATGGCGGGCCTTAGAGACCCATACAAATGTCATCGATGAGAACTCGTCCAACCCAACTGGGAGACCTTTCTTTCCTTTTCATTATCAGCCGCTTTTCTTATTGCTCATACATCATTCTCACCAAAGGAAAACAAGTTGCTAGAACTACTTTGCCTCATTGACAAACCAAATATTTACCTAATGTTGAAAACGGAAAGAAAAATATAGGGGAAAGCGGAAATTGGAACATTGATGTAATAAACTACTCAAATAAGCCTTAGGGAACTAACCTTAGAACTGTGTCCATGAATTAAATTACAAAGCACAAACAGAACAAGCAACAAAGCCAATCAATAGAAATAGGGCAGTAACACAACATGGCCGTGAGAATAAGTAAATATATCATACTTTATTTATATACACCAGGTTTGATGCAATTATCTTTCTTGTCCTCTCAAACAGAAATCCTGTAATCTTATACCTGCCCCCCTTTTTGTTTGAAACCCAACAAATGTTATATAGGTAGAACCACTCCTTCAGTTGCTCAAAAATTCCTCTCTGAATGTTTTGTTTTGTGTTCCTCATTTTTGCTGAATCATGCTTCTACAATTCTCAATAAATACTTGAGGAAAAGAGGATTCCCATATGCTTGAACAACAATTTAACATAAGCCCAAACTATTGACATAGCAAGTTTAACCATACTAATAAATGAAACTTCTGGAATGGATAACCCATAGGCTTTGCACTGTAGTGATCTCATAACTAAACTCACAAACTAGGACCAAGGATCAATACAAAATATATCAACGCTACGCCACATGTTCGGTTCACACACGCTACAGACATACCCACACACGCAACAGACACGAATCCATTCTCTCAGAAACAGTTCAGCCTCAAAGATTATGTATTGCATATACTGTTTAAAACGATATGAGAGTAATTCTCTCAGTACTAATATCTCTGCACACAAAACCTTTATATGATCCCACCTTCATTTCTTTCACAACTTTGTAATGTCTCTTTCTGTAACTATCGCATATTTGCTTCGACCATAAATCTACTTCGTCTCCAATGAGTTCTAGTTTCAAAAAGAATGCTCATTCTTACTGTTCATATGTTAGGATTTGAATATACCACTCCATTTTGTTATACTTATCTCTTTTGTAGCAATAGGACTGTTATGCTTGTTACTAAACTTCTATTCTACCCATTAGTAAACTTGAAAAAAGTTTTCTTAATGAACAATGTTCTTCAAGCTTCAACATGTCCAAACTTCAACAAAAGTAGTTAGATCATTATATATTTAGAAAATATCAATCCAAAGATTAACACTCTCATCCACAACGAGCTAGCAAAAGAAACGGTGCACTGAACAAGTTTACTGCCAACAAAGGTCTTACAGAAACACAATGGTTCATCACTACCCATGTTCAGAAATCATTTATCTAACAATCATAATGTCATCATAAGTTTGCATTCAACCGAAAAGGAATACAAGATAAAATATCTACGGTATTCCAGCTGGACGAAAGTCTAATTTCCAAGTTCCCTCCATAATGCTAAAGTAACTCAACAAACATAAAACCCAAACCCAGAGACAAGAAAAGTAGCACACAACACAACAGTTTAGCTTCCCCTGAAAATCATATGCATTGGCATTTGGCTGTACCTTTATTCATATAATTCAAGCAAACAAATTGCACAATGAAGTTAAAAATAAATGGAAACCGGAAAGGAGCATATGGCTCAAGCTAAATTAGAAAAAACACAGCTCTTTTTATTTACTCATAATGAAAGTTGAGTGTTTCCACTACATAGATGATGTAACACAAGATGAGTACAAGTT